ACCACGTGGGAGGCAGGGAAAGTGCAAAATTTGAACTTTCAGTTAACTGTTGGCCAGTGAAAAGGGTGCCTGTCTGCTTCCTCACTCCTCCCAGCGTTTAGAGAGTGGATTGGGAGTCTTCAGACTGCCTGGTACTGCCTGGACTGTATTTTCCCTGCCTTCCCTGAACCTTTCTTGACCTAAGAAAAAAAGAAACAAAATATCCCCCCTCTAGTGGTCGAAGGCAGAATAGCAGCTTCCCATTAGTTTCTATGGACGGAAAAGAGCAGATACGGATCAATGCATTCCTATGGGAAATGCAGATTTGACCTGAGAACTTTTTGACTTGAGAACCACCTTCCAATACGGATTAAGTTCTCAAGTCAAGACCCCACTGTATCATTGTTTATAATATAGTATAGTTGCATCAGGATTTTTATTTAACCCCATTTCCAACATAGAATCTACCTTTAATTTACCACTGTAATTGTCACATTTTTCGTCTCATAAAATATCAATAATAAAATAGCTGGTAGAACCTACATTTAATGGAGTGCCTGTCAGACTCACTGTCTCTCGAGACTCTGTAGAGCGATCATTATCTACCCCATGCTCTCTCGAGACTCGCGTGAACTTATCTCTTACTCCCAAGCACTACTAAGAACAGTTTCTTTCTTCTTAAACAGCCAATATAAGGGCAACAAAGGCCCACACGGAGGTGAGGAAAGCACCTGTTCAGACTGCTGTTTTGGGACTACTACTAGGGATGCTGCCTAGGGGAATTTTTGGTGAATTCTGGGAGTTTTGGTCCAGAAAACATACCAGTCCCCACCCCTAAATGTGTAAACATGTGCCTGATGGCACAATCAAAATGAGCTCTAGCATCTTGTCAATTAGGTACAATTAGCCATGGCAAGTAGTGCAAACCTTACACAAAGACCAATACGATTCTAGCCATTGTCATCGTGTTTCACCGTATGTGATCTTGGGAGGGCTGTAGCCTGAGGTTCATTCTCCAGATAGGACTAGGAAACAGTTCTGGCTGAAACCCTGTTGAGCTGGGCTGTGGGTAGGTGAGGGGGGGGCAGCAAGATTTGACAGAGTTGCGCTAGATGGACTCAATAAAGGTAGCTTCCGATGTTTAATTGCCAGTGAAATCCTATCATATTGATCTGTCAGAAAACCCACTGTTTTCAGAGTAGTTTAATTCCCAGTTAATATGCCCAGGGAAGTTGTCAGCCCGGGACTCCTTTTTAACAAAACATCTGGTTCTGTGGATGGATCACATATTATTGATGTGTTGACTAGCAAATGAGAGAGACTTGGCAATGTGTCAAGTGAGGTTTCCTGAGAGAAGCAAGTGGGTACAGATTCCTTGTTGGTCACTGCATTACTCATGAGCCCCATGCCATGCCTCTCCCCCCCCCCGTATAATGCAGTTTAACGTCCAGCTTATATGTTTAATGGGATGAATTAAATGGATAGTAAACTCATGTACCAGAGTAGGCTATGGAATAGATTAGAAAATAGAGCAGGATGGACTAAAAATAAACATGATTTTGAAAACAATGTTTTGGCCTTAGGCCTTTGTTACAAAACTAATTCTCATTTTCCATTACCTGTTTTATTTTTTTTTGCTTTATTTTTTAGGGCTTCAAGGCAAAATGTTGCTTCTCATCTGATGGGAGGGCAGAGGAGATTGAAGACCTTTGTATTGTTTCCTCCCTCTTCTCTTCCCTGCCAATTCTCATTTCATAAAGCACAAATCATGCCAGGATATGACTGAAAACAGTTTTACCAGCAGTGTTAATTGGCTTTCTCAGACCTCTTTCCTCAAATGGTGGTTGAAGAAAAAGCTGGAAATGAAACAGTTATACCCAACAGTTGCGTTTTTAACTAGTTTTAAGAAAGTAATAGATTAGTCCCATGCAGTTAAGAACAACTATTCTTCCTGGGTCAAAACTATGCAACCAGTTTTAGCAGGTCTCCTAAAAAAAACTAAGGAAAGGAAGCCATCTTGTTTTTTTCAATATTCTGTGAGATATGCTAGCTAGATGAATAGATTATAATTACCATATTTTTTCATGTATAAGATACCCCCATGTATAAGAAGCCCCACACGTTTCTAACCCAAAATTTCTTTCTTTGCCAGAAAGTGGAGGGAGACAGCAGGGATCAAAGCGCTTTGATCCCTCCCCCCTCCTTACTACCTTGTATAAAATGACCCTCAATTTTTCCTCTAATTATTTTAGGGAAAGGTTGTATACACTGAAAAATACGGTAGTCCTTTTGTGGTGGTTGACTGAGTGTATTTGAACCTGACTCTCTTTTTCAACTTTCTTTCTCATTGTAACTTACTGATAGGAATCCTCTTGCTTAGTGCGGTAAGTTGCAACTAGAGTAAGCCCAATGAACCAGTGAGGGTTTGGTGAGCGGACACCTCCATACGTTCCATTGATTCACATGGGTCTACTCTAGATGCAACTTGGTATGCCAGCCCACAGGATTTCAACAAATATTTCATTCTTTACTCGGTTATTGTAAAGACGTATACAGCACATCAGCTCAGAGTACTGTTTGACATAAGAAACAACAGGAATGAAATAAAAACATCTTCCAAGAAAACTAGAAGACATTTTGGGGTTGTTTTACAGAGACAGAAAATAGCAACATAGATGATGTCTTTGGACTTCGTGGGCAAATAGAGCACAAACTGAGCTTTCTTCGAAAAAATGTGCCCAAAGATGTCAAGCTTGTACTGATCGGACATTCGATTGGGTCGTACATTTCCCTTCAAATTATGGAACTTGCGCCGGAACTGGAGGTATGTTAGAGATGGCTTTCTTCTACTCTTCCCCACAACCCACCCAACATCCACTGCCTGTTTTTTCTAAAAGTGATCACAGCTTGTCTGAGATGGCTGGGGAAACTACTGTATTTGGTTTATGTAATGACCTTACAGTGTTCTTGTTGGTATTTATTGCAAACCCTGATGTGTATGTGGGATTTAAAGGTAAGTGATACAAGAATTTCTGTTGACACTGAAGCTGAGAGTTGATTCCTCCTTTATTTTTTGAATATGGGGATCCAGATGATCACATGTGTGTGCCATTTGAGAAGCATCCTTCTATTCAAATGGCTTGATTCTCTACAACAGACCTGGGCAAAGTGCGGCCTGCAGGCCACACGCCCCGAGAGCCTCTCTTGTCCAGCCCACCGGTTGCCGCTCCTATCAGGCCTACCCATCGCCGTTCCTGTCCGGCCCACCCATCATCGTTGAGTGAGCTGGAGTTCCAGCTCCGGTCACCCAGCATAGCAGTAAGCAAAACCCGTGAGATCTGACGCTGGGATCTAATGAGTTTTGACTGTTACTCTTGAGTCGCAGGCTGCAGGGCCTGCGGCTCAAGGGGCCGGAAGCTATCCTTGCACTGGCATGGGATAGAAGACAGTCGGAGAGGAAGGCCGCGGGGGAATGGAGGACAGGTGAGTTAGCTCAGTGTCGGGGAGTTTTCCTCCCCTGCGGTGAACGAATTACAACACTCACATAATTAACTCCCTAAAAAGTTCAGGGAGTTAACTATGTCAGCCTTGTAATTCGTTCACCGCAGGGCTTCACCCAATGGGGGCCTCTTACTACCCACAAATTGGGGGCCTGTTACTACCCACCTCCGAACACAGTTCAGATTTTTCATGTCGCCCCCTATAGAAATTAATGGCCCACCCCTGCTCTACAATATAAATATGGTGGGTGGGGGGAGAGCTGATGCTTGGCCAACCATTGCAGCCCTCTTTACTGCAGAGAGACCTAGCCATTTAAATGGATAGAACCCTTTAAAGGTAGCAGCTTTTTCTGTAAATCCGCTCTAATGCTCCAAAGGCTGCCTTCTAAAGCACCCAATTCTTCATACTGTACTTACGTCCTGAACCACACTCTGTATTCATGAGGGTAAATAAATGTAACAAGGGAGGCAGCATACAATTGCCACAACTATAATGGCCTTCTAGAAAACAAGGAAACATTTCCATGTATGTTCTGATGTCAGTCTCGCTCCTGCCAGCTTCTTCATTAAATATTCCACCTACTTGTGAACATGAAACTGCACTATAATACAAACATGGAAACCTCTTATCTGTATATTTCTGCATAAATTAATCTTTTGTACATGCTCTTATTTATTTATTTATTTAATCTGAAGGCACAACAAAATGCAAACAACAATTTAGCATCCTCACCATAAGAGATCCAACTCTCCTATGATAACTAAGCTATCAAATAGTTCAGCTGCTGTCACTGAGTTTTGCAATGCTACATATAATGGTACTTGATCCACTTTATTATCAGAAATAGCTTAATTTTCAGAAGTAGGCAAAAAGGTCTCCCACTGTAGTTTCTAAATTTTTTATTATCAGTTTCATTATTTGTATTTAATAATTTAATATATTTAATAATATCAAAAGAGGCTACCCAGAAAATAGGAATATGTCTTCAACTTTGCTAAAATGGGTTACTGGATTCAATTATATTTGAATTGCTATCTTTTTTTAACCACCTGGCGCCATGGATGATGTTCGAAAAGTAATGACTTGTCATTGTATTGAAAGTATAGGTATGTTTAGGACACCTTGAGAGGGTACTGGATGCTTAAAGGTAACTTATGACATGCTGCACTTAAAAAGTGTTTGACGATAGAAAATATTTGCGTAAGCCAGAGCGTTGTGCAACTTCTGTCCCTTTGCCAAGAGTAAGTTAACTGTTTTGTTTTATGACATATGAAGTGTGATAATATGAAACTTGTGTTTCCATCTCTTCTTCTATTTTTACTGGAATATTTTACTCCCAATAGAATTCAGTCACATACGTGTAGTTTAGAAGCAGGATCACTCATGTGTGTGTGTTTGTGGATACTTTCACTATATTCTTTTATTGTAGAATTCCAGTTTTCATTTTGGTTCTTAAATGGACTGTATTTTTAAAAAGCTTTTAATGCTGTGTTTTTCTGGCTCTAAGCTGTTGCTGAATTGATGAATTTATTATTTTAGTAGGTCTCTATATGCTCACTGTATACTTGTTAGAAGTTTTGGTTGTGGCTTTTGGAAAAAAAAAATCTTGAATCCTTTGATGATGTAGAAGAAAACAGTACTTTGAGTTGTTTCAGTTTCTGAATATTTATTTATTTATTTATTTATTTATTTAT